CCAAAACTGCTTCCGGCGCGACTGTTCACAGCTATTGCCATTGTCCTATGTAGTACATCACTGCTATCAAATTTTGTTAGATCCTTATTTTACCCCCCCCCCTTGCAAGCAGCTGAATTTTTGATAAACCATGTTAAAGTTTTGACTATCACACTTGATCTCCGCGCTAAACAAGCGCAGTGTACACCGTATACCAGGCATCTACCCTTGCGTATAAAAATTTAGGTGTGGCTGGGACTTATTTTTTTCCATTTAAAAGCTTGACACATGTCCTTTGTAATTGATAGGATACATATCATTATCAGGATGGATGGTTTGCAAACTACTAGTTCTGTATTTGTCATGCTCACTCGATTAACATGCACGCACATAGGCCAATATGATCAGATGCGTACTCGCCCTAGAAACATTGCAATAGCTTCATTGAAACTCCTGTTAATTTAATCATGAAATATTACTTTATACATGACATTATATATATTTTTATAATGTCATTATATAATTTAATTTAGAATAGTATGTTATTTTATCGTATCAATATACTTAGCGCGGGGCGTGAAACGTAAATTGACCCAGTCGTTGCTAGGCGGGTGATAGATTGGTGGCATTTTGCAGAACGAGGTGATTGCGATAGTCAATTTCAAAAGAGATGTGATAAATCTAGAGCAGAATACGCTATTTTTTCCAGGCAATTACCAGCGAAGAACTATAGCGCACTTTCCGTTCGACGACAACTTCAGAGAGGACGCGGCCACGCACATTCTTGTCAACGCGCCCCGTGTGGGGGACTCGCAGTATGTCAAGGGAGTGAAATTCGTCCCCGGCGTATTTGGCAGGTGTGTGGAATTTAATTCGCCCCGGGCGAAGGAGCTGACGTACCAAGGTGGATTCAGCACGGACAACAATCGTAATTACACATGGAATAAGGGCTTCACCATCAGCGTGTGGTTCAGGAGGCCGGGTGAGTTTGAATTCGATAAGTTAATTTTACAAGCAAACTAGCACATTTGAACTAAACTAAATAGTAAGCATGTGCACTTGCACGAACGTAAGTCGGCGTGGATGCGGTGTCTCCGCACGCGTATGTGTAAACACCAGCGTATGCGATTCACATATTACGTTGTGTGTGTGTGTGTGTGTGTGTGTGTGTGTGTGTGTGTGTGTGTGTGTGTGTGTTTGTGTGTGGCATGTTTATGTGGGTCATGGGGTGCGGCGTTGTGTGTGTATGTGTAGCCTACGTGTGTGTGTGTGTGCATTTGTGTGTGTGTGTGTGTGTGTGTGTGTGTGTGTGTGTGTGTGTGTGTGTGTGTGTGTGTGTGAGTGTGTGTGTGTGTGTGTGTGTGCGTGTGTTTGCGTGTGTGTGTGTGTTTATTTACGTTGTAGGGCGTTTCTTTCTTTTTGGGCACATGTGGTGTTAATTAAACGCTTACAAAGAATTGTTCACTCTTTGCTAAACAAACTAGTAAATTTAGCATGTAATGATATATATATATATTATAAACATGGCTAGGTTTCAATTTTTAGTACAATACATGTATACTGTTGGCCTTACTAAACTGCATTGTTATACTAGTGTATTATTAAAAACTTTGTTAGAGAAATTGCATTTATCCGATTTTTTCTCCATGAAAAAGTCTGTATTCAGTACATGTATTTGTATTTGAATTACATGCAATAAAGATTTAATAATAATAATAATAAAATAGGTCCTATATATGTAACCTATATTCGCCGTATGCTGGAACTACCAGCACCGGTGCCAGGGCCATAGAAATGGCATATTCTCTAGAATATGCTCTAGAAATGGCACATTCCATTATATGCCTAGAATGGATATGCGTATATAGAACCACCCATATGCGTATATGCCCAGCGTAATGCACGAAGTTATACACAGTAAACGTGACATGTGAGACTAAACGTTATGGAGAACAAAATATACTATGTTAATCAAAACGTTTATACTACGTTTAAATGACATACAAAATTCGTGAGACTAAAGGTTATGCAGAACAAAATGTATACAAGGTTTGTTTTGTAAAACGCTGAAAGACGTTGAATGCTCGTCACATACACAACTGGCCGCGTACTGAAGTCGCTGTCATTTTATAGGGAGACAGAGCAAGCCAATTCGTGCCCCGCGCGCCTTTTCTGCATTCCACATGTGAAGTGAAACAATTAATACACAGCGAGCACCAATTTAAGTGAGGGCGCACCAACCCGACAAATACATCATCTTCTACTAATTGCTATCAAAACAAGATCCGACAGCCACCTAGATTCTATACAATGAAAGTTATTTGTCCACCTCTGGCACCCTCTGTGTCCTCCAGCTGCATGTGTTGTGCATATAGACAATGCCACCGTTTCGCAGCTAGGTGTCTTTACAATACACGCTCTATCGAAATCTGCCGTTTTCCTTTCGTCTGGTTACAAACTGCTGCTTAATATTTCCAATATATATTATTTATGTCACTATTGTGTAAAGCAGAGATGTTTGTCCGTCTTCTACGCTATAGTCGTAACTATTGAATGTGTATGCAACTATCCCTAACTGTAACCCTAACCCATAACTGCTCTTTAACCGTGCTACTGCTACCTGATAACTGCCGAGGCTATGTGCAGCATGTGCTACGGTAATCGATATGTATGAGTAATAGAGAGTGATCGATCGAGAAGACAAAAATTAATTAGCAAACATTCGCATACACGCACACACACGCTCGGATGCACTCACACACGAACGCACGCAGAGACGCACATGCACGCACACACTTACACGCGCACACACGCATACGCACAGACACATGAACGCACCCACCGCGTAAACGCACGCATCCATACACGCATGTACCACACGCGCGCACGCGGACAGACGGACGGACGGGTAGACTGACTGACTGACAGACACATCGATTTATTGATCGAGATATCGATCGATAGATTGATCGATCAATAGCTAGATCGATTGATAGATCGATAGATGAATGGATGGATGGATGGATGGTTGGATGGATGGATGGATGGATGGATGGATGGAGGGATGGAGGGATGGACGGAGAGATGGATGGATGGGTGAATGGATGGATGTATGGATGGATGTATGGATGAATGGATGCCTCACTAGTTCCTCTAATATGGGGGTCGCGGCTAACTAGCCGGCATCATGTTTCAGATAGGCTCGGTATGCAGAAATGAATTTATTTGAGGTGTCAGTGGAAGGGGAGTATTGGCGTACTTGTCTTTTACATGTGATATTATCTTTTTCAACAATGGGCTAAAATTGGCGATAATTTCAATAACTCACAAGAGAATAATCAATTTTTAAAGTATAAGCTCACCATTTGGGCTGCAGTTTGTTTCAAATTGACCGAGTCACTCGGATGGCTTAAGTAAATCTATTTTCAAGTGCCAGTGTTTAATACATTTCGTGTTTTCAATATTGTCATTGATTGTCGTCATGGCACAGGAGCTGTGGCAGCGCCAGCATACATGTATTTTTGCTAAACATCGACACCAACCAATAATAAAAGATGAAGCCAATTGTTAACACTTAATTAGTAAAATGAGTAATAAAAACTATTAGTTTAAGTTCAATATATTAATAATTATTAGTAATAATAAATTATTTGTGTTTGTTATTGATTGTGTCTATTAATTCTAGAATCGTCAGGCGAAGATGAACTTGGTATCGCAGGATACATCAATGGCGAGGTTGGAGTATTTGAACTTTTCATCGGCATAAAAGATCAACGAAGCAACTCCTCGTTTAGTCAACAACGTACGTTACATAACCATGGCGACCTGATCTTGGCTCAATCGCGACAATTATTCCTGTGTACAGCAGTAGAATATATACCTATTATCCTCGTTATTCCTTACGCAGCCGTGCGTGTTATGCTTTAGTGTGGCGTGCAAATCGTTGCAAATCCGTGACAAACTCCTTGATTATACCAGATGTAAAGATCTTATTTTACTCCTCAGTACCATCTCTCTCAAATACAGTCGCAACGCACCGACTATCAACATCCCTCAGAACCTGGGCCTGCATGAAGGAAGGGATTGGGCAGGCTTACTACTTGTCTTCAGGGTAGTTCATCTCGCCGAAAAATAGTAGACATTAATTGAAACATAATCAATGCACCATTGCAGACACTGTCTGTGCCGATGAATTTCGAGCTCCCAACATATACTGGCGAGGCCGACAAAGACGAGAATTTGGCAACTACACCCGATGTATAGATATGATAGATTGTTTTATTGATCAACAACATTCAATTCTGAAATAATGAAAATAAACCATTTTGAGTTGACATTCTGTCATTCATAAGATACATAAAGATGCTAAGACATAAAGATATGCATAAATGCATAATGACACATTACCGAATGTCAGAAATTAACTTACTACTGTGATCG